TTCTAAGAATGTACTTAACCCACTAAAAGGATTTCTTCTCAAATAATCGTTAACCTGTGTTTGGTGACGACTACATTTGTGTGGCAAAGAGATATAAAGTCTGAGTTCCTGTAGATCAGGGGTGTCAAACTCAAACACACAGTGGGCCAACATAAAAAAGTGGGTACTAGTGGAGGGCCGGACTGGTTCAATGTTTATTGCAGAACTTATTGAAATGAACTTATTGCACATATTAAACCTGGAACTAACAAAGCTTAAATTATTGCCTATAAAAACAACATTAAACTTTAAATAATCAGTTCATTCATTTCTTATGGCTCTATCTGCAGCTTTTCCAGAGTCATTTCTTATGATTACATTTTCCCACAGGCCAACAACAGCTTCAACAAAACTATTTCCCTCAAAGAAAAAAACAAACATGCCCTGTTGTCGCAAGAAAGAAAGTGCAGAAGGAAACATCCATTAAACTCAGTGTGCTGCTCTGTGATGCTAGTTCAGATACTTGGCATCTCATCTTGGGTGCAAGGTCATCAATGTTTGGGCTCAGGCTCTGAGCTGAGGAGACCCTCAGGATGGAGTGAAGGTGTGCGTGCAATATACCGGCGGGCCAGATCTAACGGGAATTAGAAATTATCCTGCGGGCCGAAATTAAATCCACCACGGGCCTGATTTGGCCCCCGGGCCTTATGTTTGACACATGTGCTTTAGAGTTATCCAGACGCAGACACAAACGGAAGATTTCCGGTCTTTTCCTGCCGTTTAGAATGATGTGTATTTAGCTTTACATACCCAGGTTTAATTATGCTGTGTCAAAGGTTGTGTTATGAGCATCTGCCTCGCTAGTGGAATCGGTATGCTCTTCCTCCTGTGTCCTCGTCCTTTCCTGTCACCTATGACCCCACTATAAATATAAATAAAGTAAACTGAGACACCAACAACACCCATAAAATGGCTCCTACACTAAAATCTTTACTGAAACACGTTGCTGTGTTCTGTCCCACAGGTCTGCCTATGTCCGACCAGTATGTGAAACTGGAGGAGGAGCGTCGGCAGAAGGACAGAGCCGATAAGAAGAAGAAGGAGAAGAAGAAGAGGAAAGAAAAGCGCGGCGGCGGACGAGGGAAGAAACATGACTCGGGTCCAGAGAGCGAGGAGGACATCACGCCCGCGCACATGGTGGACATTGTTACAGAGGAGATGCCAGAGGTACGCTGGAGCTGTGACAACATCACAAAGAGTTTTGAATTGACAGCCTCGATGTAAAAATACAATTCAGCTCTATGCTAATCTGTACCAAACACAATATTGATCATTTGTGCCTTGCAAGACTTTAATTTAGTGATTTAAGATATATCAGTTTTCCTCTCTGAATTATAGTGCTGTGGACACATTACGCTGACCTTGTTATTATTGATCAAAGCACAATTCAATAATGAATTTTATTTGTCTTGTGGATTAAAGACTTATATAGAAAGTTATTCACTCAGTTTCATTGATTTCATCTTCATTATTTCAGAATGCCTTACCCAGTGATGATGATGACAAAGATCCCAATGACCCTCATAAAGCCCTGGACATCGACCTGGACAAGTAAGTCCTCACTACGTAGATAGATGTGCTTCAGTTCTACTAAATTTGGAAATGATTGATATGTATATGTGACCTGCTCTATCGAAATCAGTCGCATTGACCCGAAGACACATTTTGAGTTGTATACACTGTTGGAAAGAGGAGATTCCTAGCTTTCTAATGATATCAGGATTTTTGTAGCACTCCAAATATTAAGCTAAATGTCACATTATTGTGTGTGTGTGTGTGTGTGTGTGTGTGTGTGTGTGTGTGTGTGTGTGTGTGTGTGTGTGTGTTGTGTGTGTGTGTGTGTGTGTGTGTGTGTGTGTGTGTGTGTGTGTGTGTGTGTGTGTGTGTGTGTGTGTGTGTGTGTGTGTGTGTGTGTGTGTGTGTGTGTGTGTGTGTGTGTGTGTGTGTGTGTGTGTGTGGCTTCAAAGTTGTATTTATCATCTGAATTTGCCGAAACAAGTTTAATATTCTGAAAGCCAACACTTTGTTTATTTGAAATCAGATGAAAACAAACTGTAACGGACCCTGCCGTGTTATCTATGATTACTATACGCCTTACATTCATAATGTCAGCGGGAGGGAGGGGGGCGGCGCTCCGGAACAGCAGAGTGCGAGTGAGAGCTGTCTTCTTCCCTTCACAAGCTTCAAACATGTATTTATCGTGTGATTTTGGAAATAAAAGTTTCATATTCTGAAAGCAAAGACTTTGTTTAGTTAAAATTAAACAAAACACCCGAACCCCGAAAAACTATGTTTTTACGCAAATCCACGTTTATTTTGAAATGAGCCGTTGAGACTTCCGACTGATTTCGATAGAGCGGGTCACATATGTACCGGTACTCAAAATCTGCTGAGAAACATTAACTAATGACATCATTAGAGTTGTACCAAGTAGTTTGAAGCTTCATTGATAATGTTGTCATGTTCTGAATGCTGCACAGCTTCTTTGTCTTTTTTTCATTTCTATTAATTCTGTTAAACCTGGTATTTCTCCACAGTTTTAGAATAAAAAACAGTTTTAGTTTAATTCATTAAACAAGTCGATTTCATTTTCAAAAAAGGCTAACTCACTAGCTCTGATCAATCAGTTTATTTAAAGTGAGCACTTTGTCCGAGGTCTTTTCGGGTGATGAAGTCATAAAATATTCATTTGAAAATCTTGATAGAAGCAATGAATACATAAAAATCCTTTTGAACAGCTCTAGATTTGATGTTAAGGTTGCTGATACTCATCGTTTAAGTATCTGGCTGAGCTGACTGTCCAGTGTAAATGTAGAGCTTTGAGTTGAATCTCATATGATTTGTTTTACTAACCTGAATATCTGTCAGTGTAATTACTTCCTGTAGCGTCACAGTCCGTGTGACTCGGCCCTTTCCCTCCTCTCACTCCTCCTCATGGTGATTTGCTTTCTGCTTCCTCTTCTCTCTGCATCCACACACCCATCACTCCTCTTTGTGTTGGCAGTTTGGTGCAGAAGGCTGTGATCAGGTGAGTGCCCCCCCCCCGGTTGCAGGACCGCGGCTGCGACTGCACATGGATTGTCTTTCTCTCTTTCTCTCTCTTAATAGATGTCTTGCTGCTCTCACTAACATAGATCTCAGTTATTTCTCGTTTGGAGTTTGCAGTTTGCAGTTTGCCGTTCCTCCTCCCTCTTTCTGCTCTTCTCTCCTTTCATCGCATTTTTCTATCGTTATCATTGTAGCGTTTGACCTAGTATGATTCAGGGTGTTTCTCAATGTCAAGGAAGGATGCTCCAGAGCCACTATTTCAAGGACTCTACGTCATCGAGTCCCACCGAAGGACTATTCCAAAGGCCAGGCTCCTTGGAATTCTACCGAGCCCGGCGTCCTTCGTAGCGAGACATTTCGAGGCTGCACATGTGTACCCTCCACGGTCTTAAAATCCCCACAATGCTTTGCGCACGGACCAATTTCCCCAAATTTCAGACGGGGCCTCTCATATGACGCACACTTGCTCGCCTGTTCCACTCTTTGTTTTCGAATACCAGGAAAGATTCTTGCCTAACTTCTGAAGGAAGTGACTCGGAAGACATGTCCTACCAAGGAAGCGTCCTCGACATTGAGAAACACCCATAGTATCCCTTTCCTCTTATCTTGCTTCTTATGTTAACATCTATAAGCTTGACAATATCAGCAGCATATCACTATTTCCAAACAAACTGTTCTGTGAATGTTCTGTCCTTCAAAGAAGAATATTCATCTTAAAAGAATATATATCTTTGATAAGACTTTTAGAGTTTCATAGTAAACTAGATAAAACATTTTAACTGGCTGCTGCTGATGTTCTCACGGCTTAAATCTTTCCCAACCTGTCCTCCTGGAAAAGGCTCTTAAAAGCATTTTGGCTCTTGCATTTCTTCCATCAGCCTTGAGTTGCTTTTAGGAAACAGAACCCAGGGGTTGGGTGCTATCATTATTTTGCTTACAATTCCCAGATCCTCCTCAGTTCGGCAGACTTGCCTCCAAATTCTCACCAGATGTTTTTTAAGTGGATACTTGCCTTCCCTTGACTGAAATAAAAAGCACATGTCCCTTTAGACCAAAGCTATGCAGCTAGCTTTTTATATATAGTACATTATTTCACAATTGTGTTTAAAGGTGGGGTAGGTAATTCACTTCAGAAACACTTTTTGTTATATTCCATGGAATGCTCTTAACATCCCGATAGCAATGAATAAATTAAATGCTTTGACAATAAATCCATAAATAAATGTCATCTGTGGAAGCCGTGGCGCTGTAAAAAGCACGACCAATCATCTGAGCCGGCCCGGCTAAAATAACTGGATGGCCTACCTGCCTGTCAGCCTTCCATCTGTACACAAACTTATCTCGTGCCCTCATTGGTCATGTGCGCGTTCGTGTGTGTTGGAGGAGGGGCTCTGTACGGAAGTCTGAAGGAAGAGGCAGATTGGCTCCATACTTTCAAATTCTCGCGCACTCGAGCTGGTTTCTCCATTCTTACCTACACTACCTTTTTAATTGGTATGGGTTCAACTCATGGGTAAGACTAAGAAATCAAGAAGCACTCTTCTTGATTTCTTAGTCTTACCCATGAGTTGAACCCATACCAATTAAAAAGGTAGTGTAGGTAAGAATGGAGAAACCAGCTCGAGTGCGCGAGAATTTGNTGTGTGTGTGTGTGTGTGTGTGTGTGTGTGTGTGTGTGTGTGTGTGTGTGTGTGTGTGTGTGTGTTGCTTCTTCTCATCATCAGTCCTGTTGCTGCTGTTGTCAGGGAAACCCTTTTACCGGTACCGGCTCACCTTGCCCTGCTGGATTTTCACTAAATATTTGAACGGCCCTGCTGCCCCCCTACTTGTGTATGTGTGGGGCAGTGTGTGTGAGTTTACTGTACAGCCAGTGCCTGTGTGATGTGATCCTTCTGACAAATTTACAGAACAGGCCCAGCGAGAGGGAGGAGGGGAGAGGGGGGCTGCAGTAAGAGTGGTGACAGCAGCATCTCTTGAGGAGTGCAATCTTTCCAGCTTTCTTCCCCCGGCCAGTTTTTTTGGATTAAATCTTATTTTCTAAGCCAGACTACGAGAGCTCATCCTCCAGGCTCCAAACTGTCGCACTCTGTGTCTCACTCTATATCTCACTCCGTCGCTCCGCCTGGCACTGCCATTGTCAGCAGGGCACAGTGGGCAGCTCTGTGTGTCTCTTTCACACTTCATCTCTCTGTACTTGTTTCTTTTCTTACGATCTCCTTTTTCTCTACACTTTAATTTCCTTCTCTTCTCTTCCTCGTTGCTCTCTTCTTCCTGCTGTCTAAGAGACAGAGCAGCGAGAGGTATTGGCTTCAAGCATTACCTCATAGCTGTCTTCGCTGAGGAGAAGGCTTTTAGGGGTGACCCCGTCCCCCACCACCCTCTGGCGTCCACCACTTACCTGCCCCCCCACCGTCCCCACCCACCACTGCAGGGTGGGATGGGCAGGGGCTGGGCGAGTTAGCCAGGGGATCGAGGGATAGCAACAGGGCAGACCATGCCAGAGAGTAAAAGACAAGGTGGAGGTGGGGGCTCGCGGAAGCTGAGGAAGGGAGGCAGCCGCTCGGCCATCCCGGCACTCTTCACCATCACTGAGGAAGAGGAAGGGCTGAGACGGAGAGATGCTCGCAAGAGGAAGAAAAGAGGTATGGAGGGAGAGCACAGCGGGATTGCATGCTCTGGTACTTCGTGCAGTTTGAGCTTCATTTAAACTTTAGATCTTCAATCTGGGACAGAGAGGCTAGCGGGGCAGAAAGAAGTGTGACTAAGCTCTAGAGAGTCACGGGAGGTCTTAAAAAAGCCCTGAAGGTGCGCATTATTAAACAAAGGAGTTTGGTATATTAGGACGTTAATTGTGTGTGTGTGTGTGTGTGTGTGTGTGTGTGTGTGTGTGTGTGTGTGTGTGTGTGTGTGTGTGTGTGTGTGTGTGTGTGTGTGTGTGTCCAGAACTCTCTCTTAACCCTTCAGCTCAGCCATCTGGAAACAGGTGGCTGACAAGTCTGATGAGAAAGCAGTGTGTGTGTGTGTGTGTGTGGAAACAAGCTGACAAGGCAAGATTGGGTCAACCCAAGGGCAGCAGATGAGAGTGAAGGTGCAGTCCACTTCACACGTGTCTGTGGTTGCATCAGTCAACAGGACTGTATGTGTCCAAAGTAAAGCATCTTTACATTTGAAAATGTTAAACTGGCTTTTGTTTAGCTTTTTTTAATTATGAATTATTCTTTAGTTTACCGCATACCTTTTTATGTAATGTTGACAAGAGCTACAATGTATTACCATTGGACAGTTCTGTGTTCGTCAAACGTGGGATTAGGCCTGCAGAGTTGTTGGGTTTTGTAGTTTTCAAAGACAAAACCTCAGTCAGGTTTGTGAAACTAACATGGAAACATAGTAAATTAAGAATTATAGGGTCCTTCTGAATTAGCTGCAAGGAAACGAGCAACTGTTTGAATCATCCCCATTTATATATATTTCATATCCAATCATACAGGTGAAAGAGGAATTTGTATAATTGCATTTTTTAGCGAGGTTTGGTTGTTTATTGACGTAGGGAGACAGGAGGGTGATCACATATTAACGTGACTTAATATGTAGTTTTTATAATTTCCACTTGTATTCCCCTAACTTCAGTTATACAACTATGATGTAAAAAGAACAAGGAAACAAGTTATTTTCTAATTAACTGCATTTCCTTTTAGTGTAAGACATTCTCAGACTAAAGGTTTGCAGTTTCCTCATGGGGCGAACATGTACGACTCACTTTACCTATACATAATGGAATAGACCAAGAGAGAGAGGATGAAGAGACAATTGTGAGCTCTTGCAGCGAGCATGATCACAAACCATCATGTAACTGCTCACTTGCTCCATAGTAACCTTTATGTTAAAACTAGTGAGCCCACTCCCCTTAGAACCCAACATTCATGTTGATTTGAACTTCACACCTTATAAGATTTGTGACTTTCTCTTGCATGGTTGGAACGCTGCCAGGGTCACAAAAGTCTGTCCACGCACGCACGCACGCACGCACGCACGCACGCACACATAGACCACAAGGTGAAAACAAAATCAGTGTTTCGGCAGAAAATACATATATATGCAATAGCTTAGCACTATTCAGGATACATTTAAATGTAGACTGTATTAATTACCCATCTCCACTTTAAAAAGTTTATAGATGTTTATGTGCTTGGAAGTTTAAAAACATGTCTTGCTCTTCAGGGTAGATACATTATGTAAGTAGTTGTTTGAATCAACTGTGACCGAGATGAGATGCTGTTTTTGACATTGGTTAAGGAAAGCTTTTCTTTAGCAATCTTTATTTTGGGAATTTGTCTTTTAATATCAATTTGCATGTAATTTCTATACATATATCGATGACACATTGCTAAACAAAGTTTATATGATTGGTAGTTTAAGAGCATTTGTGATAGAGATGGCAACATTTCAAAAATAGACAACAGCTGTTTTGATTATTTATTGCCCTTATACTTTTGTCAAAAACGTTAAAGAGTTATATGTTGACGACAGACATACATTACCTGAGCTGAAACCTCCCAAATGCAGCAGTACCCTCCTCTGAGGGCAGCTGTTATCCCGGCCTGACTGCCTGTCCTGGGGCTAGAGAGGAGGACTCCCGCCCCCTGCCCCCTTTGCCTCTCTGTTGGCTGGAGCTTACTGTTTAGCTTAGCATTAGCAGTGGGCTAATCCTCTCAGGCTGCAGGAGCCACACAGCATGCTCGCCTGCTACCCACTGGCCCGGACGGCACAGCATTAATCGTTAACTCTGACCATTTAATCTGACTGAGGATAGGTTGGGGGTGGGGAACACGCTCCAGCAATAAGGGAGGGAGGGGCAGATCAGTCACACTCTCCCTATGTCTCACTCTCTGTTACACACACACATAAAAACACACACATGGATAAAAGGATGGGGGTTGGACAGTCACCA